TGTCAAAGGCCTTGCACAAGTCAAGGTAGATGACATCACTTGCCCTTCCTTTGTCCACCATGCTATCACTCCATCATAGAAGGCCACCAGATTGGTCAGGCATGATCTACCCCTGGTGAAGCTGTGTTGGCTGTCTCAGATCACCTCCTCAACTCACATGTGCCTTGCCATTAGTTTCCAGGAGGATCTGCTCTGTGATCTTCCCAGGCACAGAGGTGAGGCTCACTGGTCTGTAGTTCCCCAAGTTTTCCTTTCTTGAAAATAAGAGCAATGCTCGAAGCTGTGTTGGCTGTCTCAGATCACCTCCTCAACTCACATGTGCCTTGCCATTAGTTTCCAGGAGGATCTGCTCTGTGATCTTCCCAGGCACAGAGGTGAGGCTCACTGGTCTGTAGTTCCCCAAGTTTTCCTTTCTTGAAAATAAGAGCAATGCTCCCCTTTTTCCAGTCACCAGGGACTTCACCTGACAGCCACAACTCTTCAAATATGATAGAGAGCGGTTTGGCAACCACATCAGCCAGTTCCTTCAGGACCCTGGGATGCGTGTCATCACCCCTACAGAGCTGTACACAGTCAGTGTCATGAGGTGGTCTCTGACTTGCTCTGTTCTTACAGTGGGAGGGACTCTGCTCCCCTGACCCTCACCCAGAGGTTCAGGGACTCGAGAGATGTGGGAAGCCAGACTGCCAGTGAAGACTGAGGCAAAGAACTTGTTGAGTAGCTCAGCTTTCTCCAGGTCTGTTGGAGCCAGTTCTCCCTTTTCATTTATCAGAGGGGGTACGCTCTCCTTGGCCTGGCTCTTCTGGCCAATGTGCCTGAGGAACCCCCTTTGCTTCTTTTTTGTGGCACTGGTTCCAATTTGTGTCTTTGGTTGAACCAACTTAACAAGGTTGTCACTTTCCAGGCCTGAACCACTGCCCACACCATCTCCTTTTTCTATCCCCAGAGCTTTGTATCTGTTGCTTAAGGGGACTTCAGGGGGAATGGGGAGGCTCCTCCTTCTGCTCCGAGCAGAGACAGGGGTCCGGTCTCCCTCATCTGGTGTGTTTTTGCCATCCCTGTCCTCAAGGTTGGAAGGTAGCTTAGCTTCTTCCCCCTGCAAGGACTTAAGTTCTCCACAGTTGAAGGTCTGGGCAGGTCTGTTGCTCCTCAGGAGGTCTGTCTGGGCACATGCATTGGCCTGGAAAGGATGTGGCCCCTCTTCCATCTGGGTTTCTGCCTCAGCCCAACCCTTGTGGTGGGTGGTTGTCATTTTGCTTTCAGTAGAGTGCTGCTCCCTGCTGTTCCCAGCCGAGAGGGAAGCGGTTGGCCTCATGTCCAGCCTGCTCACACAAATTGCCACGCTCTGTCTGCCACCCTCCTTGCTATCCAAGATGGATTTGTTTCCCTTTGGTCTGGAGGGTTAGAGAAGAAATCACTAAACATGGAGCAGTTGCCGTTTCAAAGACTTTTTTCACCAGGTAACATCCCAGCCAGCAGCAGAAAATCATCGCTGATGGTTGGGGTAACGCAGCTGGCTGGGAGGTCCTTCCCCTGGTGCTG